AAAGGAGAACTATGAGGTGAGTGCTTTTCACTCACCTCATAGTTCTAGCCGACCTGTGACAATGAGACTGTCACAGGTCGGCTCAGTAGATCGGGAGGTGAGCGAACACATACCGGTTCGCTCACCTCTCGATACTGTCACGGTTCTCTGCCGTGACAGGGGGAGGGGCTGGATTCCCCTCTCCCCGCTCTGATCTGCCAGCGCTGACTGGCGGAACGGACGGGGAGGGGGCGGGTACAGCTGGCTCTGCCTCTAGATAGGCAAAGCCAGCTGTCACTCACGCAGCTGGGCGGATCCCGTCATCTAAGTCGGGATCCGCTCCGGCTGCGACGTCTCAGTATACCGTGAGCTGGAGCTCGCGGTATACTGAGCTTAGTTTGTGTCCTCCCGTTACCCTAAGGAGAACTATAGGGAAAAACACTGACCCCATAGTTTTCCTTTAACTATTCTCATCATCGATTTATTTGCTTTTCGATTTGTTGCAGCCGCCGCTCTGCTCCTCAGCTCTCCTCCCAGCTTGTGCTGGCTGCAGCGGTCTGTGTCTGTTTCAATCCCCGCCTGTGTCGGCAGAGGCAGCAGGGACATCCTGGATGGACTTTGCAATGGTTCTCAAATTTTCTGTTTTGTTGGGGCTGTTGGCGTTTGTATGCTCATTTGTCCACTCCTCAGGACAAGAAAGAAAATAGAAAGTTTTTACTTACCATAAAATCCTTTTCTTAAATTCCATGTAGGTCCAATGGGCCCCACCCCAAGTAGGTCCAATGGGCCCCACCCCACGTAGGTCCAATGGGCCCCACCCCACGTAGGTCCAATGGGCCCCACCCCACGTAGGTCCAATGGGCCCCACCCCACGTAGGTCCAATGGGCCCCACCCCACGTAGGTCCAATGGGCCCCACCCCACGTAGGTCCAATGGGCCCCACCCCACGTAGGTCCAATGGGCCCCACCCCACGTAGGTCCAATGGGCCCCACCCCACGTAGGTCCAATGGGCCCCACCCCACGTAGGTCCAATGGGCCCCACCCCACGTAGGTCCAATGGGCCCCACCCCACGTAGGTCCAATGGGCCCCACCCCACGTAGGTCCAATGGGCCCCACCCCACGTAGGTCCAATGGGCCCCACCCCACGTAGGTCCAATGGGCCCCACCCCACGTAGGTCCAATGGGCCCCACCCCACGTAGGTCCAATGGGCCCCACCCCACGTAGGTCCAATGGGCCCCACCCCACGTAGGTCCAATGGGCCCCACCCCACGTAGGTCCAATGGGCCCCACCCCACGTAGGTCCAATGGGCCCCACCCCACGTAGGTCCAATGGGCCCCACCCCACGTAGGTCCAATGGGCCCCACCCCACGTAGGTCCAATGGGCCCCACCCCACGTAGGTCCAATGGGCCCCACCCCACGTAGGTCCAATGGGCCCCACCCCACGTAGGTCCAATGGGCCCCACCCCAAGTAGGTCCGTGGCTGTTGAGAGCCAGGTGTTGAGGGATCGTGGTCTCTCGGATGCGGTTATTTCTACGATGTTGCGGGGTGCTCGCAAGCCCGTGTCCCGAAGGATTTACCATCGAACATGGAAGGCTTATTTTGTCTGGTGTGAGTAGGTTGGATTTCCGCCTCTTTTGTTTTCCGTTTCCAGGATCCTCGCTTTTTTTGCAGCGTGGTGTGGATCAAGGTTTGGCCTTGAGTACGATCAAGGGCCAGGTTTCGGCTTTGACTGTCCTTTTTCAGCGGCCGATAGCCTCCAGCGCTTTCGTTCGCACTTTTGTGCAGGGGGTTACACGTATCGTTCCTCCTGTTCGCTCCCCGTTGCCGCCATGGGATTTGAATTTGGTGCTCAGTGTTGCAGAAGTCTCCCTTTGAGCCCCTGCGTGAAATTCCAATTCTGACTCTGTCTCAAAAGGTGGCCTTTTTGGTGGCGGTCACCTCGGTCCGCAGGGTTTCGGACTTGGCGGCCCTCTCTTGCTCATCCCCGTTGCTGGTCCTGCATCGGGACAAGGTGGTTCTGCGGCTTTGGCCCTCTTTTTTGCCGAAGGTGGTTTCGGCTTTCCATCTCAATGAGGACATTGTCCTGCCTTCCTTGTGTCCGCAGCCTGTCCACAGGAAGGAGAAGGCGCTGCACTGTCTGGATGTGGCCCGCGCTATCTGTGTTTACCTGAGTGCTACGGCTTCGTTTCGGGAATCGGATTCCCTGTTTGTCGTTGCAGATGGCCCTCGGAAGGGCCGGGCTGCCTTGTTGGCCACCATCTCTCGATGGATTCGCAACACGGTCTCTCAAGCGTATGCCATTAAGGGCCGTGAGCCTCCTTTTTCTGTTACGGCCCATTCTACAAGGGCTGTTGGGGCATCGTGGGCTTTTCGTCATGGTGCCTCCGTTTCTCAGGTCTGTAAGGCCGCAACTTGGTCTTCTGTTCACACCTTTGCCAAGTTCTATAAGGTGGATGTTTTGGCATCTGCGGATGCTGGTTTGGGGCAGTACATGATCTCCGATCTGTTCCCTGTGTCCTTCAATGAACGGAGAGAAAAGGATTTTACAGTGAGTACCAAAATCCTATTTTTCCACTCTCCTCACATGGGCTGGAAGCGACCTTTTGGTATCCTTTTTTCTTTTTTTTTTTTCACTGCTCCCCACCTCATTTCTCTTTTCTGATTTTAATAGCTGCATGCTTTGCTAATTAAGGTGGATTTCTACACCTGATATTTAACATTGCTCATACCATATTCCCATAGACTAAAAAGAACATGTTCAAATCGTACAGTTAGTTCCCAATTATTCATCCACGTTTGTTTTCTACCTAGCTGAGAAATATGTCTGAATACATTCATATTCTGTTAACCTTTTGTGCAACCTCCCTAATGCAATAATTAAAACGAATCTGGAAGAGTTAATGCTATATGAAATAGAGCAAGACTACATTAATTAGGAGTTTTTTGTGGTGCAGGAAGGCCATAAGAACAGATGACAGGCAGTCTATGCAGTTCAGGGTCATCAAATGTTCACAAGCGGGAGGACAACACTGGTAAATAGCTCTCCAATCATTGAGCCAGGAAACTCATTTAGACAAGAAACCAGGTTTTTCCTTTTTCTTTGAGTACTGTCTTATATTGTTAACCATACTGATGCCATACTAGAAAGGTATCATTTTAGTGATATTTTGCAGTACAATACATGGTTATATCTAAATTAATGCATTTTATATCTGATCAATGATGAAGCCCCTTTTTTCAGACCTTGGTCTTTCTTAGTGCATGCTGCTTTTAATGCAATCCAGATGGGCACATTTGAAAAGTTCTGTCTTTATTTGATTTAATGCTGGTTCACACCACAAACTCCACGCTCCAGTGCGCTCGGCCTCTGGAATGCACTGGAATGCAAGCCGGCCACGACCCCCGCCCCCACCCGGAACGCAGACACTAATGTGTCTGTGTTCCGGTCCAGTGCGTTGTGTAAAAATACTGCAAGCACTATTTTTGCAGAAAGCACTGGACCGGAACGCGGAACTAATGTCTGTGTTCCGGGTGCGGGCAATCGCACTGCGGTGAGGGGGGTGGCTGCAGTGCCATTGTATTCATTGGCACTGGAAGGGAGTCGGCCAGCGTGCGTTCCAGAGGCCGAACGCACGAACGCAGAGTTTGTAGTGTGAACCGGCCCTTACACATACTTTTTAGATTACTTTTGGGCGAAAAAGCTTGCCAAAATTGATTTGTTTTTTAGCCAAATGTAGTAACCATATCTTTTATAATGATGTAATTAGCTAAAGACAGTCTTTTATACAAACCCAGCTGTGCTTCATTTGCCTTATACTTGGATTATTATGGTCTGAGTATCCTTGCAAACAAGCAGCTTACGAGTATTGGTGTTGTCCCACCTTTGCAATACCTGATGCTTTTGGTTATAGCCACTGCATTGTTCAATTATTTATATCCATTTCCTTGTACCAGATGAAAACCAAATACTGTTTCAGGCCATGTTCCTTTTAATGCTCTTCTCCACAAGAATTGTACAATTTTTTAAAAACTTTTAATTATATTTACAAACTTAATATTTTTAAGGAAAAATTATTTTCTTTTTAATAGCTTACAATATTTTAATATCAAAATTGTTTAACACAGGGACCTTCAAAATAATGACATCTCCTGGGCTATTGAAGATTCTAATGAAGCATTTGCTGGACTGGTTAAGCTGCTTAAACTGTAAGTACACCATATTGTAAAATGCTGCTGTTTGTATCACATTTGTAGAGCAGGTCACACACACTGGCTGCATGAGATTGATAAATCTTCATTATGTACATGCTTGAGAAGACAGTTGTATTTTGATATTCTACAAATACAGAAGTAGCTAGGTGCAGTGGACACATTGGTTATGTCTATTTTTTAGTCTTGCTCTTTTATAAAATATGTATGTTAAACCTTTGCATAACTATAACTTGCATTATACCTGTAAATTGTTTTAAAATGTTTTTTTTAACTGTCATAGCCCCAATTCAATTTGATGACATTTTTTGACATCCATTCACTAGTTTTTCCATGGTGTTGGAGCTCTGTAACATGTTAGCATTGAGCTTTCTGACAGACCTTTCATTCAAGAATTAAAGTGTATCCAATGACCTGCGGGGAGTTTAATTGGCTCCTGTCTAAATTTGCCCGGTGTGCGTGTACACTAGGGACCTTAGGTTGTAAGCTCCTTGAGGACAGGGACTCATGTGAGTGTGCAGTATGTAAAGCACTGCATAAATTGTCAGTGCTATATAAATACATGTAATAAATCTAAACCCTTGGTGGAAAAAATATGCAGGTGAAAGTCACTTTCTTTGCAAATCGACACCTTAAAGAATGGAAAATCCTACTGGTAGGGAGAAGGCATAGCTATGATAAACAAGCTGTAGTTGGTTTGTTCTACTGCCTCCGACATAGCATTCTCCAGCCTCTTAGGCAACCACTCCTGATGTCATTCAGGTGGCTGGTGGGCACTCTACAGGTGTACACATGGTGTAGTGGTCGGTCTACAGAAGGGGCACATGACATTACAGTGACAGAGATCCCTCTGAGGTTGCTAGGCAATCACCCCTATCATTCAAATGGCTGGTGGGCAGTCTGAAGGCATATTCATGAAGTAGCAGAAAGACGTTGGTGCCCGGTGTAAAGTTATTTGTAGTTTTAATGGGTAGCGTGGTAAAGTGTGTGACAATACTGCAGCTCTATAGAGTCCATGAGCTAATGTAGCTCTATAGAGTCCATGAGCTAATGTAGCGTCACCAGAACAGCGAAAGTGTGGACACTGACAACACAAAGGTATGATGTATGTATTATTGTGTGTGGATTAATAGAGATGGTGAAGATTTGTTTTAAATGGAAAGAACTTTGGAGTCGTGAAATTATTTCTGTCATCGTAAATACAAATTTGAATATTTCATATGTAGCTTAATTGCGATTTTGGTACTGTAGTTTCATGTGATCTCACAGCGTTTTGCTGAGCTGTTAACACTTTTTTTTGTTTCAAGCATTTTGGAAGGGAACAAGATTAAGTCCATCACCAAGAAAGCCTTCAGTGGCCTGGATTCTTTGCAGCATCTGTAAGTGTTTTCAGATTCTATTTTACTAAAGGTAAATCATAGTGTAATAATCCATGTATGAAATATGTGGCCGTGTTCCATCTCTCTTGATCATATTAACATGAAAAACAGTCAAGATTTTGCAATAGCCGACTTTGGCTGAGGGGAACGGCCGGACGGGAGCCTTCTGGCAGCAGGTGGCCGTCTCTAAACGTCCCTTGTGCCCGCACCCGCTTGCGCGCGCCCCATGGTACTCACGAGTGGGAAACTGCAAGAATTTGAAGCAGCCAGCAATGGCTGTTTACATACAAGTGGTCCGGGGGCGGTAAAGATGCCCAATCGCTTGTATGATACACCTATGATAGTCCCCCTCCCCTTACCTGTCCCTGCCGTTGCTGCGATCCCGAGCGTCCAATCCTGGACCGGCAGTGTGGCTCCGTGCACGGAGAACTGAGGGAGATCCGTACACGATCTCCCTCCGCTCTACTCCCCGCTCTGTGAATGTTTATTAGTGGTTTATATTACATCATTTCCACAGTCAGCTGTCGCTCTCCGGCTACAGAAGCCGGAGAGAAGCTAATGAAGCAGATCTGTGCTTCATCAGCTTCTTTGGGGGTCCCTAGGTGACTTTAGGGGTGTTAGAGACCCCTGATGTCTCCATAAAGAGAACCTGTCACTGTAATTTGATATCACATAGGGGGATTCTTATCCCCCTATGTGATAATTAAGTTAAGTGTGAAAAAAAAAATTGGTCATAAAAAATGTAATTTACACACACAAGTAAAAAAAAATAGGAGAGCATTTGGAAGTTTACAGAAAAAGATGGCTTTTCAAGCTCTTGAATAATACAAAGCAGATGCACCTGGAAAATATTTGTATTTTGCTTGGGAAAGAAGGAACACCCCCGCTTCGGTCAGTATGAGCTATTAGTCATTTCAGTTCTGATTACTGCACTAATCCACCCTATAAAACAATATACTCAAGTATAAGCCGACCCGAATATAAGCCGAGGTACCTAATTTTACCACAAAAAACTGGGAAAAAATATTGACTCGAGTATAAGCCTAGGGTGGGAAATGAGGCAGCTACTGGTAAATGTACAAAGAAAAACTCGGCTTATACTAGAATATATACGGTAAGTGGTCATTTATGGTTTGCCCCTGAAACGACTCTGCGTGTGACACCAGCAAGCTTGTGTTCTCTCCTCATAATGCATAATTAATGGAGCTGCTCCACTTAATAATCATCAAATATGGATTTATTTTTCACATCTCATGCAGTTCTGTTTGCTATTAATTATTTTTCTGACATTTGCTCATTTTGCTTTGCAGCGACTTGAGCAATAATGGGGTCATGTCTGTGCAAGAGAATGCCTTTGCTCATGTTAAACTTCAGGAATTGTAAGTAGTAAAATCTTGTATACATGACCAGCAAATAAAATATTTAAATGTTTGAATGCAATTGCCATATTTTAATAAGGTTTTCAAGTATTGATGAAAAAAGATTGTTTAAAGATACCTGGTCACCAGACCATTGTCTTTAACAAAAATCTCATATGATTACATGTGCATTTAATGTAGTTTATGTAGTCTTGTGCCTGGTGCTGGACCTGCCATCTTGGGCTGCAGACTCAGAGCTGTCACTCGGGTAACACTATTGTAATCCCCTTTGCTCCTTCCCTGGGAGCTACCGTGTTTCCCCGAAAGTAAGACCTACCCCGAAAATAAGACCTAGCACTATCTTCAGGGACTTCTGTAATATAAGACCTACCCCGAAAATAAGACCTAGTTCGGTGGTAGGTCTTATATTACAGAAATCCGCTAGGTCTTACTTTCGGGGGAACTGCACATAAACTGTGTAAAGACCGGCCGCAGCTCCCGCCCGCAGCTCACGCACGCACGATGGAAGCGACATCCGCCGGGACCGGCAACAGCACGCCGCCTTCCGGGACCTCGTCCAGTCCTCCCCCAGCCAGGTAAGACATCCCCCGAAAATAAGACCTAGTGTCTTATTTCGTGCAAAAAAATAAATAAGACTGTCTTATTTTCGGGGAAACACGGTACATAAAAGATTATGTAGGGAGCGCAGGGGCAGAACAGCTGGGCAGCACGGAGAGTAATTAGACATTTTCAGAAGAGGAGGCTTTGACATGCAAAGTGTAAGAGGGCTGTGCTAGGGAATTGACGCTTTCTGAACATGTCAAATATGCTAGCTAGTTCAAAGGCACACTGCATGTGAATTGAAAAAAAAAAGCGAATGGGAAGGAAAAATGCTACACTTACACGGACATTTGTTTTTTAAATGCATTTTTACCTAAATTTTCTTAAGATCGTGACAAAGTCTATTTAAAGTGATTTAGAATAAAATTAAAACTTTACATTTGTTTCCTTTTTTCCCCATTTGGTTCACGTTCTTTGACATAATTTTCTCCAGTTATGAGTAGTGTGTTTTTGGGTTGCTTGATGGTTGGCTCTGCATGCCCACTTATTGTCCCACTGTTCATTATATACATGTTCATTATAGGTGTTTTTCTTTAATAACCTACTGTTTGAATCTTCTTGCAGAATCCTAAACACAAGCAATTTGCTTTGTGACTGTCAGCTAAAATGGTTCCCCCAGTGGTTCACTGACAGTGGATTTCAGCATGCTGTTAACGTGAATTGTGCCCATCCTGATTGGCTGTCTGGGCGTTCTGTGCTCAGTGTGGATTCAGGGGATTTTATCTGCGGTTAGTATTTTATATTAATGCTGCTATTGCAAGATTTTCCTCCTGCCAACGCATGACAGAACTTATTTAAATTTTTCTTTACAAAGGCTTATAGGTCCTAGATTGGCAGGATTCAGTTTGTAAAGAATAAACTTAATGTGGGACACTGTATTTAAAACCAAGGTCTAAATCACTGTGGATTTAAAAAAAAACCCACAACTGCAGTTGTGAAAAGACTAAGGTTATTTCCTAAAATGTACATGTTTTGTACAGGCAGTCCCTGGGTTACCGATGTCCGACTTAGGGACAATCCGTACTTACAGACGGGGTCCACAGTTCTCCTAAAGGTACCGGCAGCCGCTGGTACCTTTAGGAGAACTGTGGCTGCAGTAGCCTGTGTCCTTTCAAATCCCCGCTGCTCTCCGGGCCTGTGTTGGCGGAGGCAGCGGGGACACAGACCGCTGCATACCGCCGATGTCCCACGTACCTC